TATGTAATTTGTTACACAAAAAAAATTTGCCATGCAGATCATATGATAAATGATCTACGTATACTCTACCCTTAAATATATATTCATATTATTATATAACTAGCATATATACAGATTATTCGTAGATTCTAGTAATGATTATTAGAAATGGAACTGCCTATTCCGGTTTCTCATTTGAACTGGTCTCACATGATCTACCTTAGATCCGTTATTTAAGTTCTTTAACCAATCCGAATATAAATCTCTAACCTTAATATCTAAATTTGTTTGGATTTAAGGTCCAATTTAAATAGTCAGATTTAGGATCGAAGTACTAATTGTCAGTAACACGAATCACATGAATCAAAATTGACTAATCAGATGATAAAGCGGATGATGTGACAATAATTATAATTTTAATACTAATAATAGTATAAATAGGTAGATATTTTTGACTTCTTATTTCGTATTATTGACATTCATTTAATTCTTCTCGTAAAATGGAGTTCTATGCTTTTATTTGGCTTTTAATTGCCATCTCCATGATATTAAATGTTATTCCTGTTACCTCAAACACCAATTCTATCACACTGATCAAAACTACTCCTAAACATTCTTGGAATGAAATTGTTCGATTCAATAGAGATTATCTTAAGTTTAGATACGAAAATTTAATCCGTGGCTCTGATCAATATGCCCTTAATAAACTCGTATCTGCTGAAAAAAGATCTAAAAGCGTTAATTTAACAGAATCTGAGGATTCAATTGGATTCTATGGATCTGTCGTTATAGGTGGTCAAAAATTTAACGTTATGTTCGACTTATTTAGTTCTGATCTTTTGGTTAGTAATTGTTCTTTAATAATTACAAAATATTTACATTATTTTAACAATGAAAACGATTTTTTATACCTGTATTATTCTAAGCATTAGGTTCCTTTAGCGCCTTGTTGTATTAGCCCCAATAAATTTAACGAAAGTTTATCGAAAACATTTAGACACATTGGTAAAAAATTCACTGCTTTTTTCGGACTTACAGAAGCCGATGGTGTTCTTGGAGAAGATAATCTTTTAGTAGGCGGGATAAAATCTGACCAAATATTCGGTCTTATAACTTCAGAAAATGGATTTTTTTTGTTAGCTGAATATGACGGTATATTTGGTTTGGGTTTAGATAGTCTTAGTCAGTTCAATACTACGTCGCCTTTTTCAAAAATGGTTAAACAGAAGGCCGTAAAAAATCCTTATTTTAGTCTTCATTTAAATGGTGAGGGCGACGCGGGAACATTAACTCTTGGCGACATTGACACAACTAAATTCACCGGTAAACTTAATTACCATAAAGTATCTACAGTTAAAGGTAAATATGTGATTTGGATGACTAATTTGGACGACATTTCTATTAATGGTAAAAAACTTAAATACAAGAAAAAAAAAGGCTATATTTGATACTACCACACGTGTCGTATTAATGTCATCTGGTGATGCTGATGCCTATCATAAAGCAATTAAAGGATCAAAATTGATATTTGATGATGCTGGAGGAACCTATGTTGTGCCCTGTAACACAACTGATAAAGTAGAATATATATTTAGTGGAATTAATTATCCTTCAAACCCGATCTTTGCGCTGTCAGGTAGTAGTTTTTGTATTTCTTCAGTTCAATATGAAGATTTTGTTGATGATAATACTTTTATTATTGGAGGCTCATTTTTAAGAGATGTTTACTCAGTTTATAACATAAAAGATTTTACGATTGGACTTGCTCCCATATCTAAATAATATAATTAATGAGTTTTGAAATAGTAACTCAAATAAATCTAATATTTTACATTTTCATATTTTTAATATATTTAATAGTTAGCTAATCTTATTTAATTTTGATATAAAGATGAAATAAATAATTTCTTGTTAATTTATATAAATAATTTATTGTTAATTTATATAAATAATTTATTGTTAATTAATATAAATAATTTCTTGTTTAATTAATATCAATAATTTCTTGTTTAATTAATATAAATAATTTCTTGTTAATTAATATAAATAATTTCTTGTTAATTAATATAAATAATTTCGTGTTAAATTAATATAAATAATTTCTTGTTAATTAATATAAATAATTTCTTGTTAATTAATATAAATAATTTCGTGTTAACAAATATAAATAATTTCTTGTTAATTAATATAAATAATCTTTTGTTAATTAATAGAAATAATTTCGTGTTAAATTAATATAAATAATTTCTTGCTAATTAATATAAATAATTTCGTGTTAAATTAATATAAATAATTTCTTGCTAATCAATACAAATAATTTCTTGTTAATTAATATAAATAATTTCTTGTGAATTAATATAAATCATATTAATTAATATAAATCATTTCTTATTAATTAATATAGATAATTTCTTGTTAATTAATACAAATTTCTTGTTAATTAATAAGAAAGAAAGCTACTGTAGTCATATGTTTTTTTATAAAATTCGAGGTATATAACAGACACCATTAAAAACGGATAATTTTATAGTAATGAATCGATCTATTGCACTTGTAGTAATGAGTACACCTGCACTTATAGTAATAACCAGTTTATGTGAACTTATGGACCATTTAGTACTGACGATAATTTTATCACATTTATTTCTTTATTTGGAGGAGTACTTTTCGAATCCTTCCAAGATCGATCAAATCCTCCATACCTTCAATTATAAGCATTTATTTAAATTATTCATTAGTTTTTATATATTGCGCTTATGCAACCATTCTTATTTCTCTTTCGATTAATCAAAATTTGGCCTGTTATTATGTTAAATGTTCCGATTACAATTACGATCCCGATTTTCGAATTTTCCTGATCACACTCCTTATAATTTGTGTTATCTCAACATTCATGTCAATTGTTAATATCATATATAAATCGTCCTTCTTACAGAAATGTGCTATATGTCAACTTACAGTATTTTTAAATTATATAATTCTTCCAAGCTTTCTTATGGTATTCATACGTTATCTAAATGCAAATGTTACTTATATAACTCTAGGATTCAAAGTTATTTTGTGGACCTTAACTATCGTTTCGTTGATTGTTTTATGCTTTTTTCAACTATTACGACACCGTAACTTATTGCATCATATGGACGATCATAATCAAGAAAGAGAGAGAGAGAGAATAGTAATACGTAAGCCTGATGCAATACAAGAGGCAGATATAATACAAGAGTCTGATGCAATACAAGAAGCAAATGAAAAAAAACACGCAATAGATGCAAAATATATAAAAGTTGATTCCGCGCAGCAATACTGTTTTCGGACAATATTTTTAGTACCACTAAGTATTTTCCTTGCAACTGGCTTTTTTAGCAGTTCAAGGACTACATCGCAACAATAGATTCAATTATAGCTTTTGAGCGGTTTAATGGGTAAGATACTCTTGAAATGGATTTTTTCAACGAACAACTAAATTAATAGAACGTCCTCTCTTGACTACATTTATTCTCTCGAGAAGTAAGGAAAGGAAAATTGAAAAGTTCTCATTTGAAGTCCACGATTATAGTCACGGATACATTTTGAAGGATGTTAACAGAAACTTTCTTTTGACTTCAAATTCAAGGCAAAAATTAAAATTGCTGTCGCATCGACTTGGTATATACTTTATTGATGTCCGACGAAACGAAACTCATGCATTTTGGCCGATCAAAATTTTTCGGCTATGACTAAGCCGATATGTTTACCAGCTTAGCCGGCTTTAAAACTACACCATTTAATTCGGGCTTTACTGAAAATTTTGACCTCAACCTTGCTCATATTTTAGGTTCTTTCATTTTCCACCTCGAATGCTACAATTCTAGCAATAAAATCGATCAGCCGATTTTAAAAAAAAATCGACCGGCTAAACTGATAATTTGCTTTTAGCCGATTTTTTCACTATCGGACAAGATCACTATGCAGAACTATATTGTTTCGTCAGGCATTATTAATATACTTGGATCATTATAAAATATACAAGTAATAAACCTATTAACTTAGTATGTAAAAATTAATTAAAGGGGTGCTGTCAACAGAGGGTACTCTATGTGGTAATTACTACGTATTTAGATTTGTATGTTTTTAATCTTTTTTTTTTGAAGAATCCAAAAAAATCAGCATTGAAACAATCTACATTTATGACAGTAAGATTTGTCAATTTTTTTTAATACATTTAAGATATGTATTGCTAGAGCAAAAAAAAAAAATAAAAAATGAAGCATTCAATTATTATAAAAAGCGTTGATATATATATTGAAGCGTACTATACAAACTATTCTGAAATGCCCGCTAATATATTTCATGTTCATAAAATATAACACAGGCATCTGTCATCAAAATGGTATTATAGTTGATATTATACATTGGAATATCTGCGAATATTATTAATAAAGAATAACACGTCCGAAATTCGCGCTAGGTTATTTCGATCACTAAATCAAAGAGCGTAAATATTAAAATATGGTGTAGATTTTTTATTTATTTAATAAGGCACTTGAAATTAAAACCTCGTTTAACGTTATTTTTTTT